CTACCTATCTACCTATCTACCTATCTACCTATCTACCTATCTAGCTACCTATCTACCTATCTACCTATCTACCTATCTACCTATCTACCTATCTACCTATCTATCTACCTATCTACCTACCTATCTACCTATCTACCTATCCACCAATCTACCTATCTACCTATCTACCTATCTATCTATCTAACTACATATCCACCTATCTACCTATCTACCTATCTATCTAGCTACCTATCTACCTATCTACCTATCTACCTATCTACCTATCTACCTATCTACCTATCTACCTGTCTACCTGTCTACCTCTCTATCTACCTATCAACCTATCTACCTATCTACCTATCTACCTATCTACCTACTAATCTATCTAACCTATCTACCTATCTACCTATCTATCTATCTACCTATCTACCTATCTACCTATCTACCTATCTACCTATCTACCTACCTACCTATCTACCTATCTACCTATCTACCTATCTACCTATCTATCGATCGATCGATCGATCGATCGATCTATCGATCTATAGATCGATCTACCTATCTACCTATCTACCTATCTACCTATCTACCTATCTACCTATGTATCTACCTATCTACCTATCTACCCATCTACCTACCTATCTAGCTATCTACCTATCTACCTATCTAGCTATCTCGCTATCTAGCTATCTAGCTATCTAGCTATCTAGCCAAATAGCTATCTAGCTATCTAGCTATCTAGCTATCTAGCTATCTAGCTATCTAGCTGTCTAGCTGTCTAGCTATCTAGCTATCTAGCTATCTACCTACCTACCTACCTATCTACCTATCTACCTACCTATCTATCTATCTATCTATTTATCTATCTTATCTATCTTATCTATCTAATCTTTTTAATCTATCTAATCTATCTAATCTATCTAATCTATCTAATCTTTTTAATCTATCTAATCTATCTAAGCTATCCAAGGTATCTAAGCTATCGAAGCTATCTAATCTATCTAATCTATCTAATCTATCTAATCTATCTAATCTTTCTAATCTATCTAATCTATCTAATCTATCTAATCTATCTATCTATCTATCTAATCTATCTATCTAATCTATCTATCTAATCTATCTATCTATCTATCTACCTATCTATCTATCTACCTACCTACCTAGCTATCTATCTACCTACCTACCTAGCTAGCTAGCTAGCTAGCTAGCTATCTATCTATCTATCTATCTTATCTATCTTATCTATCTTATCTATCTTATCTATCTATCATATAGTTTGATCCCTTCCTCATATTGTTAAAGAACCCACTAGCAACCCTGCTGAAATGTATCAGATCTATTCATGTTGGTCCACTTCCCAGGGTGTGTTTAACTTTAGGGGATTGCCCTTAAACCTCTTTCCAATAAATTCCCGAAATGATGGGTTTCCCACTGGGAAAATCAACAATCACCCTAAGCAAACCCAGGTCGGTAAAGGCAAATGACACAAGTTTCACATCGAAATGCTGCAACTGCCATGGTTCATCAACAAGTCCCGTCTAGCCATGTCTAGCCTGGCCCTTAATAATTCAACATGTTCCACCTATAGCAACCCCAGACAGAAGAGTACAATGCCAGAAATTATTTTCTATCTTTTCGATTCTTTTTGGGGATGCTATCAATGCCATAAACCATCCCAGCAACCAACCATAAAAAGGGTCATTTTATAAACGCTATCCCCGGTGTAGAGGCATACCTCTTTTCAAAAAATGGTGGGTCCCTAATTAGTTTTATCAAATTAAACTCGTGTCCCTATAAATCACTTGGTTTTGAACCCATTGTTTCTTATGTTTCTCATTCTATCACCATCCCTGCAGCGATCTTGTCTCCTTCACTGCTTCACCGGCCAGGAGACATGATGCTCACCATCATTCGGTGGCAACTGAGGCAAGGGAGCATCTCTTTGGGTATCGTTTGGCTACTCACCACCTGGGCAATGCCCAGGCTAGACATGGCTACACCCCTTGGATCATCCAGCTGCTCCATCACTCGTTGCTGGTAAGCTTCGGGTTTTGCTGGTTAAATCACGTGGACAAATCATCTCAAATCATTGTGGTGATCGAAGCCACATTTCAAATGTCAGACCCAGGTCAGCCGTGCATTCGTGCCATCACCAGGACCAATCTTCCCCTAAAGGCACCCTTTTTGGTTAGGCACAGGGTCTCTGGAAACGTCTGCCCCGGTGGTCCGGACCCATTGATCCCATGCCCCCAATATCAAATTACAAGCGAAACTCTGGCGGAATGTATTGGGTGCTGAAATATTTTTTCTGGGCCTGTCTGGCAAGAATTCAAGATAATTCAAGATTGGGGGAATGGGATATCGTCAGTCGATATTGCCCAGCTGCACTGACCACAAGTAGAAGTACCAGAAATCTCTCGAGAAAGGCTTCTGTGACTTGAAAGGTCGGTCTTGAACATACTCGCATCGTGACCCAACCAATGACGCCGCCAAAGACGTGTGGAGCACAAAACCACTCGAACAGTGTGGTTGACTCATCCTTTAGCGCATACAAGATGGCAAAGTAGAAGTCTGCAGTTAAACACCAAAATATTGCCTGGGTCTCCCCGGGATCCCAGGGCCATGGCATCATAAATCAAATTAAATCAATGGGGTACATGGGGCATGCAATGCAGCACATGGCAAGTACCGTCCCAACAACTAACATAGTTCCCTTATAATCAGCAATTTTTGGAGGAAAGTAGTCGTCCAATCGCCTACTTGGCAGAGTCTGCTTTAGTTGAAGGAGGGTACCTGCAATTGGAAAAACACTAGGAAACCATCAGTACAGCAACCTCTGAATGGATAGAACATGCTAGAACAGTTTATCAGGATGCCATTTAAAAATGAGGGTTATTGGCAATAATATGCAATAATCTAGAAATCTAGACTCATAATTTCAAGGTGTCCAACTTTTCAATCTATTTTGGTGCTGCTATAAGCCGCTCCACAACATTAGTACTTCATGCTGACCTTGCTTGGGTACCAGGCAACGGCAACACAAGTTCAAAATCGGCCCCAACTCTGCGCAGTGTTTAGATCTGGTTACTGCTAACAAACCCATGTTTGGGGCATATCACATCTGGTAATTTAACGCAGCTATGGAAAATGAAGCATGTCTAGATGATTTATCTATCTTAAAATGATTTGTTTTTTCATGTTTTTCCATAGTTAAGTTAGTTTACCACAGGGTATTCTGGATCTATAGCCACAAAACAAGGCCATGGTCATCCCACCCTTTCTCAGTGGATCCCAGCTGAATATCAGCCGATCCATTAATCATTCTGATAAATATGGCGATGGTTTTCACAAACCGTGTCACTATCTGGTATCACTTGTCTTATTCTTCTCATTGCTTATCATTTTTCTACATGCCAAGTATGTCTTACATGGTTTCACCAAGTTAAGTTTTTGTTGCCTGATGGATCCGGCCGATATCCCATTCTTCGTGGTGACCCCTCCATTGATCACGGAACTCTGAACCCCAAACAGCCAAAAAGAAATCATATGGTTTCCCCAAACAACAGGTGAAACGAAATCCATGCGTCAATATGTGTCATGTAGAGACTCTTCACCACAATCAGGTAGTAAAACCACGGCTATCTCTCGGATACAAGTCAGGTTGGACATGGCAACTTGGAGGATCACCACACCTACTAACTGGTTAATGACCCATGACCCTGGTGAACATAAGTCCCCAATTCGTGGATTAACCCATCTATGGGTTCTAACTATATTAACTATATGGCTTTTAATCACCTAGGATCACTGGGATGAGCTTCCACGGATCACCGGAAAACACATGAAAAAACACCAAGCATCCGCAGCTTTGAAGCTCCGCTGCCGGCCCTCGTGCATCCGCCCCTCGGCCGTTGGCAAAGCTTGACGCCCGCGACGGGCGAATGTGAAGCGCTTCACCGTGAGGTGCAGGACATCAAGCATGAAGGGCACCTGAGGCAAGGCTATGTCAAGATCGGTTACAGGTTATACCGTATATACCCTCCAATAAATTGACATAGACCCTGGCAGTCATCGGGGTTGGAAGATTGGTTTCCATTAAAAATGGCTTATTTTCAGGGTCGAACTGTTAATTTAGCAGAGGGTAATAGTTCACCAGAAATAAGGCCACCCACGGGGATCCCTGATTTCAGGTCACTATGTACTATGAACCAAGAAAGACGGAGAAAAAAACAAGGTAATTTAACCAGAAGAATTGGGATCTTTTTGGCGCAAGAAAACAACAGGATTCAACCAAGAACAATGGAGATTCAATTGCAAACACACCTAGCATACTATCCTACATAAGTTTCAGATAATTTGAAGGCAAATCAGGGTGTTTTTCTGCAAATTGACCATGGGACACTCTCATTCCAGGCTTCCCCCCACGAAGACCCATCTCCAACTGGAGATGTTTTGAACAAAAAAAGAAAGGTGCTGATGTTCCACCAATGGAAGGCGGCTCTGAATACTGAAGCCTGAAAATGTCAACTTCGGTCTGAGGGCCTTTTCATAGGAATCATTTGCAAGAATCAGCCGGCTTATGTATGCTTTCATATCTTCTATCATCATGGTCCCTAGTGCCCATATCATACATGAATTATTAAAATCCGGCTAATTCCGGAGACGACGTTCCTGATGTTTCTGGGTTCGGAAAGTTTCTGGCCACCCAGCAAGTCATGCCTCCGGAAAAGTCCGAGAGACTTCGCGCTGGAAATCCCAAAAAAGAAGCCGGGTGATCACAACGATTGCCAGCGGCAAGCCCCACATTGGAACGATAACCCGTCTCCCACTCCCCAAAAAAATGTTATCGCCAAGCAATTTTTGTGGGATGCTGGAGCCAAAATGTGTCGGGAGCCGGGCGATACCACCTGAAGTATCCTGATTTCCCTGGAACCAGAAAGTGTTTGGTTGAATTTCCCTTTCAAACCGCATTGGAAAATCACAAGGCTTCTTTGAAAATTGAGGAGTGGCCCTTTGAACCCGTTGATTTGTCATCAATTGATCGCATTTGAATTTGGAAGTTATACCACAGTTTCAACCCCAGCCTTCCCCAACAGCTGCTGAAACTGCCCCTGTCTCCAGCCTTGGGTGGGGTACCGCAGAACAACTTGGCCGGAGATGGTGCAGGAAGATCAAAAGCTTGGCGAAAGGCATCACTACCTGCATGGCATCAGAAACATGGGTTTGTCTGAAAATAGGGTACCCCATGGTACCCTGAAACCCTCTGGGTTTATGATCATGTTCCCTATTCAATCACTGCTTTGACGGGTATACCCCATTGTCAGACAAACCCACATGGCAAATCTTAGACTTCTTGGATGCGCAAAAGCAGGATTCTGTTGCTGGCTCGTCGATGTGCTTCCAGTCGATGAGACTCATGAGACCCACGGAAAGGCAGCCTGATATCGGTAAACGGTGGGTCAGCATTATATATACCTAGGCCTGCCGGCTGGGTAAAATTTCTTCCGCCAGCCCAGGCTAAAGAAATCATTGTCGCTTCAGAAATTTCTGCCGTCTCAGCCAAAAACTTCCGCTTCAACTGTTTGATGGGATTCTTGCAGGGTCAGCTGCCATTCTTGCATTTTTCGCACTTTTCTGATATTCACACACACCCTGGAGAACATTGGCAGATATGTAGCATGTCAAAGTCCAAATATGCATTTAAAACAACCAAACTAATTTACACCGTTTGGTTGGAAATTTACGCCTTTTGGTTGGGAATTTATGCCTTTTCAGTTTCTCACTTTTTCGGTGGAGGTTTTCAAGGTGGACACATGAGTTATGCGTTCTTCATGCGGCGAAAGTCTCCTCCACACCTGTGGAATTTACAGAATCCCATTCCACTCAAAACATCACAATTTGCTGGAACCATCCAAAATCCAAAAACTTCCGTCTCATCAAAAAAGCTCCGTTTGAGGGTTGGCCCCTCCAATTTTTCACCAAACATAAATAATTATTGCTGCCTCCGTTGTTCTAGGTATAGCTGAGGTGTGTATCCAATCGACGCTTCAAACTTGGAATTTCAGAGATTTTCACAGCAGCAAGGAATTCGGGATGTGTAGCCAAGACAGTGGGATTATTTGCAAATGTATCTTATATATGCTTAAATAAATATCAAAAGGATGAGCACATAATTTGGACGATCATGCCAGTTGACGGCTGGTTCTTTCAGTCAATCCCAAAAACTGCTGCGCAATGAGGGATGCTTGGAGTGGGAACCATCCGAAGAAAATGAAGGAGGACCGTAGAAGAATGCTCGAGCCCACCAAGCAGCAACCAGGGGAAAATGATGGCACGCGAATCCGTCAACCACAAAAATGGCTGGCAAAATTAGGATTTTCAAATCATGGGGAAAGAAGAAACAACAAAAACAGGTCCCAGAAGTCGGTTTGCAAACTAATTTTTCTCTTTTGAAATGGCAACGTTTCACATTGTTTCACATTAAATCTGTCGGGATGCATTGAAAATGGCCACCATTCAGTTTGTTCATTCTACTTGGAGGATCATCCCACGAATTGAAAACTGCTTGCATGGTACAGTAACCCTGGTGATGGAAACCCTGGTAGCCATATAGTGATTGGCTACAGTCCCTCTGGATAATCCGATGACTATCCCAGAAAAATCCACGATGGTTCTCACCGGATCCAATGTCCAATGATTATCCAATGGCTTCTATGGTTACTCACCGCAGATCCAGATCCTCCAAGTCACCGAGTAGAGGAGAATGATCAGCGCTGGCAGCCACATGCTCTGTCCTCGACAATCGCTGCGATGATGTGCTGAAGCAGAACATACATGTTTGTAACCAGAATTCATTTACATATGTTTTACACATGTATGCATATGATTTCATCTAATGTGATAAATAAATAAATACATATATATATATACACATACATAATGTGTGTGTGTGTGCCTGTGTGTTCGTCGTTTTTATGTGTAGATCTTCTATCCACGATTTCGGCAGGGTCCGAAGAGGAAGGAGATCAACCCCACAGTCGACTTCTCAATGTCCAGGACCACCTGCCAGGCTCCAGGCGACCCAAAAATTGCTGGGGCCACCGGGGCCGCACCAAACATGTGGATCACCCTTGGGATTTATAGCTCATGAAACTATCACTGCTTGGTGGTTTTTCGCCCAACCCCTCTGAAAAATATGAAAGTCAATTGGGATGATGACATTCCCAATATATGGAAAATAAAAAGCCATGTTCCAAACCACCAACCAGATAATGATAGTTAAGTTGGGCTAGAACTCATATAACTAGGGTTTATGGCAGATATATTTGTAGCACACGGGGTATCTAGATGAAATTGAATGGACTTATAACTGGTCAAACAACTGAACTAATCTCTTCAGAATAAAACACACACACACACAAACACACCAGAAACCATGGTTTAGTGGGGGAACCCTGTATCCTTCAGGTCCTATTCCTCTCCTCCCCACAAGGCGATCTGCTCAGCAAAGCGACACTGGCTCCAACCACAGCTTTGGCTGAGAACATCTTGGTGACAATTCCTGAGTTGCTTGGACCATTCAAGCCTTGGACATCCAGTGGCCAGTGACTAGCTGAAGAAAAATGTGCAGATGACCAAGGCTGGCAGCTGATACCCTGCTTGAAACTGCATCGTTGCATTCCCTAGCGGTACTTTATTCTCCTCATCTCAAGAGTTCTCAAGCACTCTCTGGCGGTGCATTGAGATCCTTGCCGTCCTTGCCCCCCTGTCCATCAACCAAGGCACCTGGAACTAGAAAGGCATAGGCACTTGTGAGCACCTGCCGGCAAACTTCAGCGGATTACCCTCCAGAACAACAACAAAATTGGGCTTCAGCTGGAGTTCCCATAGGAAAACCAAGAAACGGCAGTTTTCCATGCTACCTAGCCAAATGATGCTACACCCGCAGTAAGGGCGTTGGCATCTACAAATCCTCCCACCTTGAGATCTGAAAGTTCACCGGTCAGAGATGGCCGTACAGGTTATCCCTTTAGCAAATTTGGACGAAGTTTGGTCGAGCCAAGTGTTCAGTAAGTGGCTGCGCCCCAAGAATACCTCGCAAGGAAGTGTACTACTTGGAGGACCATCCCACTTAGTGGTGAACAACCCTAGTTCGCAAGTCACCCATTTTTTTTAATAAATCCCACCTATAACATGCCCAGTGCGAGTTATTTTTATAGATCCCATCTATAACATGGGATTATAATCCATCTGTAACATAGTTTTGACCGCACGTCTTGGGTTTCCCAGCCACCACAGAAGTCATGTTTCTGGGAGTGAGGACCTCGGTGGAAAGCCATGGCGGCAGTACGGCAGTTACATCAATATGAATGGCAAACAAAAAGATATCTACATGGATGATTAATCAATGCCTTTTTCACATAAATGGATATGAATTGGATTGAATTGGCTATTTTCCATCTTCACATAAATCGATATACATGACAATTTCTCTTTGACTCTTTGACAAACCCTTCGAATGTTGGCATCTCAAGCTGCCAGAGAGTCACAATTTCCCCTCGCTCAGCCGCCTGTGCCGAAGTGCGGCAGTAAAGTTTGGGAAATGGGACATGCTGCCTGGTAGTCCTCGGGTTTCCCAACTGAAAATCCCAACGTCAATGATGTCAATGATAATTCATGACATTTATGATAATTTATGATAATTTATCATGGTTTCGTTAGATCCTTTCTGAGGTTTCTTCTTATGTCCAAATTTCTTCTTATGTCCGAAAACAGGGAACCTCAGAGTCCGCTGGGAACCCGATCCAATGCTTTCAACCACATCCCAACACCTACCTGGGGTGACAGTAGCTGCACCGTAGGTGAAAAGGCCGAAGTTGGAGATGCTGAAAACTTTGTATCTCACCGGCGGGTGGCTTCCGGAAAGGGGTTTCCCTTTCCGGAACATTGGACTGGCCAATGCGGTCCCACGGTCCCACGGTCCCACCACT